ATTTACTTTTTCATGTAATTAATGTAACTTTTGCATTTTCTAATTATTTTAAACATAAAAGTTTATTTTTACAACTTTTAAAGCTTAATAATTATTGGAAAGTAAAAATAAAAATAACATACGATATTATACTTTTTGATGATAAATATACAATTAGCATTAACATTTACATTGAAGATGGTTAAAGAATTGGAAAAGGTCATACAATATTTTATTCTTTTTCATATTGTTATAGATGGTCACAAGAGCTATATGACTTGCTTTTATGGTGGCATAACAAATCATAACACTAGTATGTTTGGCCCAACTATTTTGGTCATGATCAAGGCTAGTAACATCTAAAACATACGAGTGTATTATGTTCTTTTTTTTAACTTGGTATATATATATATATATATATATGAGTGCATGCATGATATGGAATGTAGACCACATTTTCTCCTCCAGAAAGAAAATATGGACGACATATTATATAGGTGAATTTAATTACCGTGATTTTTTTAAAAAGTATTTATTGTACGTTTTAAGTTTCTTTTTTTTTTTTTTTTTTTTTGAAATCATAGATAGTTTAGTAAGTACCAAACTACTTGTAACATGAATTTGAATTAAATTAATAACGAGTACTAAACAATTTAAATTAATTTATTTGAATGCAGGAAATGTCTCAATCTTTTATTTTAGTTGTTGTTAGGTGTTCAAGATATCTTTATTCAATTTGTTTTCTTATTGATATTTGTACTTTTTTCTTATGTACATTTCACACCTATTTACTCGATAGTGAAAGTAATTTGGTAATTTTGTTATGAACAATTAACAAGTTCATTAACTAGGTTTTATTTTTATTTTTTTGTCAAAGCAGCCACGTAGAATACACGACATGACACGTCACACAATTACAATAGAGACAAGTTCTAGACCTTTCTATGAAGAGTTAACACATTCCAATTTTCTCTTTTAATATGGGGTTGAATTTTCAATTTTGTTTTCATTCTTCTTGTGACACTGAAGGCTATATCCTTTCATTGTCACTTTCTTCTTGTTGGTGGGTTTTTATCTACTAGAAGCTTAGTGGCAGGTAAGTCACATAGTACCACACATGCGACGATTATCTTAAAATGGGTTAGTGATATATATATATATATATATATATGAATTTTTAATAATTATATTTTTATCGGTAGTTATTATTTAATATAGGAATTTAATAACATGATGTGATGTGATAAGAATTTAATACTATTAGTTATCATAAATTTTTTAGGTCAATTATTGAATTTATTGTGACTGTCGGATTAATATTTTACAGTTAAAATAATAACACCTATTGATAGATAAATATTGAAACCATTAAAATCATAAATGTATATATATTGCATTATTTCAACTAATCGTGAGTAAATTTTATATTATTTAGTAATTGAAAAAAAAAAGTTGTTCGTTAATATTGGTTAGTCGGTAGATTTAGTTTCTTTTCTTAGACATATACAATGTTTAGGCTTAATTTTCATTTGTTTATGTTCAAATGGCAAAACAGGATGCGTTTCTACCAGAGATGTTAAATCAAAGGAGGCATACGAGAAAATATTTTTGGCAAGTACATGTATATGGGATTAACATATATGTTGATTCAGATATAGCAAAGGGAAATTTTAGTAGTTTCTAGGGTTAGGAAAACTCTCGATGTCACCATAAAAATGGAGAGGAAATTCTGACTGATCAATAAAAGCTTTGTTAAAGTTAATTGACATTGCTCAAGTTTTTAAATCACATATTCAATATATTTTTTTTCGCTAATCACATATTCAATATTTTACTCCTAGCAACTCTCGTAATTTATTAAGAATAAAACATTGAATATGTGATTTAAAAATGTAGAGGGTGGAATATTTTAGTTTTAAGTAAAAACTCTCCTAATTTGCTGAAATATATTTGATAAAAAGAAATTGCCGAGTTATAGTAGTCGTACTTATACTTGATTAACATTGCTTAAAGTAAAATATTCTACACTTAAACTTGATTAACATTGCTTAAACTAAACTATTCTGTTATACAATCGATATTCTAACTTCTGTAATCACATATTGAATATTTTACAACTCACAACTCTGCTAATTGATTTACTGAATCATATAAACTCTAATAGTGGAGTTTTTGATTGCTACTTAATCAATATACACAGTTGACCAAATCACTAGAGTCTGATCTCCTCCAAACTTTTTACATAATAATAATCTCAGCTTCTTATAGCTGAACTTTACAGTAAAATTATATTATTGAACCATAAAAAAGTTGCATTTTTTACTATGCACGATATACGTATGGAATAATTACATGGTTATAATTAAATGTCCTGCCATTATCGTGGCAACTTGTGGAATTAATTTTCAATATGTTGGTCCCCGGATGTTATAACTTATGACTTTTGTCTATCTTTGTTTTTTCCCGTCTAATAATGAGATGCTTTTACTTTCAGTCTCCTTAATGGAATAGTTTTCACATTAATGAATTGATCACAACCCTAATGATATAAAATAGAAAAAAAAAAAAAAAGAGGAGAAATGGGTGGATTATCATCTGCTAAAATATAAAGGTTTTCAAATAAAAATTCATGACGTTGCAATGATGCTAAATCACGCAATCCTAGGTCTTATCTTGGTTTTGTTTTGTTTTTGTTTTTGTTTTTGTTTTTGTTTTTGTTTTTTTAATATATAAAACAAAGGGTAGTCTTATCATGGTTTTCATTTTCAAATAAGTATTTGAATTTCTTTATTCTGGTGAAATACGTGCGTGTTATCAGCTGAATTGACTTAGTCTAATCATACATGCATATGAATTTCGATTCCAAAAGAAACTTTATAAAATTGGATAAAATGGTGAGATGAAACCCTCAATGGTTCTAATGTCTAACTACAAAAGCGAGTCCTTATAAGAGTAAGGTCACACATCAATTTCTCTTACCTTTCAGCTCAATAGCAAAGAAAATCTACAAAATATTTTGGGCCTTCATGTATTTAGCTCTTAAAGCATGAATCATGTACTGAGAAATAAAAAATACATAAAAATATCAATTAAACTTTTTTTTTTTTTTTTTCAAACTCGTTGTGTGAATTTTAACAATTATTCCCTTTAAAAAAAAAAAAAAAAAAAAAAAAAAAAAAAAAAAAACCTGCACGATCAACCTGGGGGTAAATTGTAAATATGCCGCTAGACTAGATTATGGTCCGTACGTTAATATTCACCACTAAGCTAAAAGCTTGATGCTTGCAATCCCACACGTTAATACACACATAGCAAATCAAAGATGAAATTGAGAGACAAAAAAGGCTTGAAATTAAAAGGAGATAACAAAGCAAATGGTTATTTTTTTATTTATTTCTATTTGGTAGAGAATATTATATTTGAAGGAATGAGAATCTGTCACTGTGCATTGTATGTTCATTCTTGTTTTATTGTGAATGTTGTTGATTTATACACATATGTATTATATATACATATTTACAAATATATATATATATATATAAGCAGGCCGGATCACCTTCGTTAATATAGGGAATGATCATCGGTTACTGCTCATAATGAGCAGCATTTTCTTTAATAGCAATTATCCAAAAACAGTTATTTTCCCTCTAATCGGAAAACTCGTGGAGACTTTTGTTATGAATTCATTTTCTTGTAAATTAGAGAGTTTAATTTTTTTTAAAACTAATAATTATACGCTTTGGCATGTTCTATCCTATATTTCATGTTAAGACAATAATATTCCAACAGCTAGTACATACTCAAGAAAACAGATTATCGGTCAGTATTCATGATGTGAAGTTATATCGATATATCATGTGCTCTAGATGTTCTTGTATTCCCTATATGGAGTTAGAATGAGTATTAATTATTAGAAAGGTTATTACTCTTTACACGTTGTTACACTTGGAATGAAGACCCACAAATAAAAGGGCGATTTGGGGAAATATATAGCCGATTTTGTAAATCTCATATTTGTTAATTACTCAAATTTATAATCTTATATTTATTGAGTAATTCCAATATTTCCGGACCAAATTAACTTGTAAATCTCATATTTATTGCTTAAAATCTGGTCAATTTTTTTCCCCATATGATCAGTAAATCTCGCTTTTTTTTTTTTTTTTTTAAATCAGCGACCAGTAAGTTATGTGATATTATTTCTTTAAATAAAAAGTGGTGAAATATTCATTTGAAATTAATATATAAAAAAATAAGAAATACACCCACAGAAAAGGTAAAATTAAATAAAGACATAATCAATTCAATATGACACTTTTTTTTTTTTTTTTTTTTTGCATGCGTCAACCACTCTAATTATAAATATAGAATAACATTTCGTCAATTAAGAGTTTACCTCAAATGATTTGCCAGCCAAAGCGTTACCTTATTTTGGTAGATAATCCTTATCATGATAATGTCACTGCAGTAGAATGTTTTAAAGCAAAAAAGAACAAATATTGTAGTCATGATCACATCCATAGGGCGGCAACGACACTGAAAATACATATGAAAATCTCATAGTGGACCTACTACTATTAAAAGATATTATTGGTGCTCAATATCATACACTAATAAATTATCTAGTATTGTAAGACTCACAAATAAAATTCACTCTCTTTTATTTGTGATACTATATAATATTAGTGGTGTCCCCAAATGTTTTTTTTTTTTTTTTTTTTTTTTTTTTTTTTTTTTTTTTTTTTGTAGTCCAATAAGACCTATATACATTTATGAAAATTCAACAAGAGTACAAGTTGAAAGAGAGAAATTCCCGAATGTATATGTTATATCTGCTATCTCCACTAATTCTGAACCGTAACCCACATAGTCTTAAATGTTAATTTATAATTTTTTTCCTTTAAAAAAAAAAAAAAAACTCAACTCGTACACATAATCCACATTTATCAATAGTAAAAATATAGTACTATAGACACACAAGAACTCTTATATAAACCCCAAATTATCCCACCCAACAAACCAGCAACAATCTCAGTTGCACAACATTTTGTAATTTATTCTTTTTCTCTCTCTCTCTCTAACATGGATAGTAATATTATCACTAATAGTATTACCCTCCTACAAGAAGCCCTCAAACCGTTGCCTATGGCCATCTACCTAGTCATCCCTCTTCTCCTCCTCCTCGGCCTAATTCTCCGGTCCCGGCAGAGATTACCCCTCCCGCCGGGCCCAAAAGGCCTCCCGATCGTCGGAAACATGGCGATTATGCACCAACTGACACACCGCGGCCTCGCCGCCCTCGCCAAGCAATACGGCGGCATCTTCCACCTCAAAATGGGCTACCTCCACATGGTGGCGATCTCGTCACCCGACACCGCCCGGCAAGTCCTCCAAATCCAAGACAACATCTTCTCGAACCGCCCCGCCACCATCGCCATCAGCTACCTTACCTACGACCGGGCCGACATGGCCTTCGCCCACTACGGCCCGTTCTGGCGGCAGATGCGCAAGCTCTGCGTCATGAAACTCTTCAGCCGCAAACGGGCCGAGTCCTGGGAATCCGTCCGTGACGAGGTCGACAAGACCGTCCGCGTCGTCGCGAACAACACCGGCACTGCCGTCAACGTCGGGGAGCTTGTCTTCAAGCTCACCATGGACATAACCTACAGAGCCGCTTTTGGCGCGGCAGCCAAGGAGGGACAAGACGAATTCATAAGAATATTGCAAGAGTTCTCCAAACTCTTTGGAGCTTTCAATATCGCCGACTTTATTCCTTGGCTCACGTGGGTCGATCCTCAAGGGCTCAATACCAGGCTTGAGAAAGCTCGTAAAGCGCTTGATGGGTTTATCGATAAGATCATTGACGAACACATGCAGAAGAAGGAGAAGATGAACGGCGTTGGGAATGATGAGATTGAGACGGACATGGTTGATGATCTTCTTGCGTTTTACGCAAGTGAAGAAGCAAAGGTGAATGAGACTGAGGATCTGCAGAACGCCATCAGACTCACGAGAGATAATATCAAGGCAATAATCATGGTAAAAATCAAATTATTGATAGCTAGTTCCATTCATTTTTTTTAATTTTTTTTTGTATTATTTGTTAATAAATAATTAATATATCGTAATTAGTTTATTAGACTAATTAAGTGCATGTTTGGTTAAAAAGGAAAGGGTTAATAGTCAAATTAAGGCTGCGAGCATGTGTATGTAACCAACAGTCGTCCCCTATTTGACCGGGGGAGTTGGATAGTTGGAATATGAAAAACGTTGGAGGATAATATAATAAAAAGATGAAAATTTTGACTATGAGATACAGGATGAAATAAATACGATTTTAATAATGTAATTTGATATGAAAATTTATGCTCCACATATTAGAGAAACCTGCAAAAACATTATTTACAAATATTTAAAAATTCAAGTGATTATATTATTGAGGTGTATAACTTTCATCAATATACTATATAATCCCTTTTGTTATTATATTTTTCTCAAATATTAAGTATCAGTATCACTTTTGTTATTCACCCTTAATGTTTTCATGCGTAAATCAGACTTAATTTTTGTAGAGTAATATTCCTCTAATTCACCCAAATATTACAGGACGTGATGTTCGGCGGGACGGAGACTGTGGCATCAGCGATAGAATGGGCCCTTACGGAGCTGATGAAGAACCCAGAAGATTTGAAGAAGGTCCAACAAGAGCTAGCCGACGTGGTGGGCCTAGACCGGAGGCTCGAAGAGTCGGACTTCGAGAAGTTGACCTACCTCAAGTGCGCCCTCAAGGAGACCCTCCGGCTCCACCCACCGATCCCCCTCCTCCTCCACGAGACCGCCGAGGATGCCGCCGTAGCCGGCTACCACATCCCCAAGGGCTCACGTGTGATGATCAATTCATGGGCCATAGGAAGGGACAAGAACTCGTGGGCCGACCCGGATAGTTTTAAGCCCGCTAGGTTCCTGAAGGATGGAGTGCCCGATTTCAAAGGTAGTAACTTTGAGTTCATTCCATTCGGGTCGGGTCGCAGGTCCTGCCCCGGGATGCAACTCGGGTTATACGCGCTTGAGTTGGCGGTGAGCCACCTTCTCCATTGCTTCACGTGGGAGTTGCCCGACGGGATGAAGCCGAGCGAGCTCGACATGAACGACGTGTTTGGGCTCACCGCGCCAAGGGCGACTCGGCTTTTCGCAATCCCAACTAAACGTGTCGTTTGCAACATATGATTAAAAAAAGAAAAAAAAGAAATGAAAAGAGAAAAAGTTTGGAGCTCATTTGTGGCGAATGAAAAACGGCCGCAGGTGAAATTGATTTGCTTCAATGCATTGCATTTGGTTGATTTCTTTTTCTTTTTAATTTCGTTTGATTATATCAAAGATGTGGAAGGAAAAAAAAAAAGATTAGGTGGAGAAGAGAAAATAACTGAAAAAAGAGAGAAAAAAGAAAAAGAAAAAAAGTGAGACGAAGTTGAATTTTCCTTCTTTCGTGTATAAGATCTCTTTCATTTGTCCTATGTGTAAATTTGTATTGTAATTTTTTTTTTTTTTTGCTTAATACCCCTCGAATAAAGTTGATAAATTGATTATATACGAAAATGTTATTTGCATTAAAGATGAAAAATAAAAATAAAAGAACCCGAATCCTTGATTCTTGTTCTTATTATCTCTTTTTTCTATAACTGAAACTAAATTGGTCCGCCATTAAGGGCTTATTTTTTTGTCGTTTTTGAGTTAGGTGACTTGAATGTAGATTTTGAGTTGAGTTTGAGTTATAATTTGAGTTAAAGTTGTAACTTGAGTTTGTGTTTGGTTGTGTACATTTGAGTTATGGTTTGAGATAAGAATCTTTTTGAGTTTGTGTTTAGGCGAGTTAAAACTTGAATTTGTATTTAGATAGTATTTTAATAAAAACTCAATGCTGATGAAAAATTTTAATAGGGTATATAGGTGTGATTTTATTTATCTTTTCATTGTCAACGCATAGGGAAAAAAATCATTTCAATCAGAATTAAAACGAAAAGGTTATAGCATTTTGAAGAATAGAAAAAATAATGTTCATTAATTTTAGTTCGAGTTTCTGAACTCGAGTTAAATGAGAAACTTGAACTCGAGTTTTAGTCCCAAACTCGAGTTCAAACTTAAAAAAAACATGAACTTAAATAAAGTTGTAACTCGAGTTACTTTTTTTGAGTTTTTAACTCAAAAAAGGGCTGCCGAACAGCCTCTAAGTTTTGTGGTATTTTATTTTGTGAATCTTTTTGTTTGATTTTTCCTAAGAACTCATTATGACAATTGTTTTTTTTTTTTTTTTTTTTGAATGGACAATTGTCCATCATTTTCACCAATGGCTACATTATGAGAATTGACATATCCGCGTTATTTTATTAGTGGGCCAAAACCACATTTCTCCTCAAAGATATTCCAAACTTTTGGTCTATACAATTGTTAGGGCAATTTCACAATTTCTTAACTTTGGAAATGTTTTCCCTTTCTTTTAGCAATTTCTTGATTATTTGAAATGTAAAAACTATTAAAGTAGTGAGTTTGTTGATTAGTGTGGTGAACTAAGCACCAACTCTATTATTTATTTGGATATATTTCTTACCTTCTAGGATTTTCCTTAATCAAATTAATGGTTTTCTACGCTTATTTAGTAAATTCCGTAAGAGTCTAAAACTAAAATCATTTAGTTGGTCCCACCCACCAAATTTCTTGATACTCAAATTGATAGTGACGTCCTTTAAGCTTTAACTCGGGGGTGTTCAATTTCAATATAAACTCCGCTCATGACATATTTGACAAGCTCATTTGATCCTATCCAGTGGTTAATTGATTAATTAAATTAGCTGTGTTACATAATGATGACGATCATCGTCACATTTTTTTTTTAAATCAATCATAAATTAGCATATTAACTTGGGATTTGGCGGATTATAAGTTATAACATATCACTATCTTCAATTTAAATGTCAAGGTACATTGACGTTAAAAAGTATGAGAATGGCATATTTAATATGTTATTTATCTTTTTTGATGAATTGATATGTTTTTTTAATCTTGTGCTCTAATCCATAATGTTACACGATCAAATGCCATATCTACTTAATATATTATTATAATTTTTAAGTTTTATAACTTGTAAAGGTAAATTTTTAATTTTAAAATAATTCAAAAATAATTAATATTTGCAATAATCAAATAAAAAATCAATACAACAACCAATAACAATCAAATACTAAAATTTAATATATGTTATAAATAGTGCCAAACTTGGCAGTAAGTAAACAATATATGCCAAATTTAGTACCAAAAATAATATTGCTTTAGAGAGTTTTTTTTTTTTAAAACTTAAATTAATATGGAAAATTGATATTGACACACATGGCAATATTATTGATTAGACAAGAGTTTAAATTAGGCAATTTTTAGTATTATTGATTAGGCAATTTTTAATAATACTAATATCAATTTTTAATAATACTTTCTCAACTTGGCAGTAAGTTCCAAGGTCCTACATATGATCAATCTTCAACCATGGCATTGATTATCAGTACAATTGGAGATAACTAGCAGTTTTATAGTTGATCGGATGATAACTTTCTCAAGTGATGAAGATTGAATCGTGGTGTGAAGACTGGGAAATTTTTCTATCAAAAAAAGTCTTGCAATTGGGGTACAAGAGTCAGACAGGTGTGGCCAATTCAGTGGAATTTGTACATTTTTCTTTGTGCATTTATGTAGCTGAAAAGAAAGAGAAGCTTAGGTTTGGAGATTTTAGGTGAGTTTTGAGGAGGACATGAGGCCTTTCACGATTTGCTTCATTAATTAAGGTCTCGTTCATTTTATCGATTCGAGTATACAATTTGAATTTTGTTACAGTAAAAAGTTCTCAGAAACAGTCACATAACTTTTTTACTATAGTAAAAAGCTCTCACATAAAGTCACATCTCAACTCGAATCAGCGAACTAAACGAGCCCTAAATAATGATGGTACGAAATAATAAGAAAATACATTTGGGGGGATATAAAACATGGTTTTTGTTTTGTCATCTCACAGCCAGGATTTCATTCTTTATCTCTTGATCTTCATTTTTTGTTGCTAATTACCTCTATCTTCAATATTCAACTATTTATCAAAAGGGCATGCTTTTCTTGCAAATGGAGATTGAAATTAATAAATAGCAACTTTTTGGCAAATGGGGCAATCTCGGCAAAATGCTAATCGGTTCGTGCACTTGTATCCCTTTTCTTGTTCCCCTTGGACTGGAGTAATTTAGTGAACGTTTAGTTTATGGATTCTGAACTATTCTCATTTTACGTGTGTTTTTTGTGAGAGAAAAATACTTTAAAAAACTATAAATCATGATTTAGAATAAAAAACGAATATAGGAAACAAACATAAATAGATATTGAGCTCAAGGATATATATAAATAGTCACTGCTTCTCTCACGTATAGGACCCACTGTCTAAGTGCCTCTCCTCTCTTCACATGGCAATACAAAACTTTGATTAATGGTATGCTTTTCGAAATACACTTGTTTACGGTTTTTGTGTGTGTTCTATTTCTAAGTGTTTTAATTTTAAAAAATAAAAATAAATTTAATAAATTTTCCATGAATTATGTCATTATTTTGCAACCTGCAGTTTTTTAAACATATTAGCACGTGCGACAAATGTGAGGAGGCTAAATTTATCAATGTCTTTAGTTTTTAACTAACCCGATTAAATTAGGGTCTATTCTTCACTTTTTTCCCTCCCGCTTTCTTGCTTTTGAGCGACTACTTTAAGAAAAAAATAATATAAAAGATTTAGCACCTAAGTAATTTATTTAAAGTAAAAGACATTCATTAACCCCTTAGAAAAATTGCTGCTAAACTTAAAGGAAGTGACAACTCCACAATTCCCTGTCCAAAAAAATAGCACTGCAAAATAGAGGGAGTAAATCTAGAAAAGTGTTATAAATAAGGGAACACAATTGATACATTTTAAAATTTAAAGGGCATATTGACACAAATGACATAATTCAGGAGGACTTTATTAAATTTATCCCCAAAAAACAAAAATAAAGAGAGAGAGAACTGTAAGGCCCTCTACCCTTACTCATTAATTTCTATAATTAGCTTTTTGGTAATTCAATGGTTTTGTGTGGTATATGATTTTTATGATAACTCTAGTGAGATTTAACCTCTTTGATTCACCCGCGATACATTAAATGTGTCATTCACGTACATACTCCCGTGATAGTTAAATAATTGAAGTAAAACTCATAGAATTAAATTATGAATGGAATTTTTAACGCCGTAATTTTGATCGGAGCGTCAAAATTAGTCAGGAAGATAACTTTTGTAAAATCCTATTCCTGGGCCAATCTTGTGATTTTGCCAAAGTTCGGTGCCGAAAATATTATTTCTAAAAATAAGGTGATCGAAAATATAAATTTTAGAAATAGTTGGACCCCTTTTTGAAAGCTAATGGGTTTGAGAAAGTTTTTGATTGGGTGATTTCTAGTCACCACCCAACACCATTAATAGAAACTTAACCACACTAAAAGGAAATGGGTTATTGATTAATATCATACCCCATCTGATTTCAAAGTCTAAACACTGCTCTCTTTCATCTCTCTCACTCTATTCTCTACCATTCTCGTAACTCTCACAAACCCAAACTAGAAATCCACCTCCCACACCTCTAAACTTCAAATTTCTTCACTCTTTGTCTTCCTAATCTATAGAGGAACCTGTTAGGACTATTAGTTGGCAAATTTATTAGTAAAAGGTTGTAAATTCAAAAATAAAATCAACAAGATTGTAGACTATTATAGACTTTATTTTTGACTACTTGCACCGGATTGGGATGATGATTTTGGATGATTTTCTCAATAAAAGAAAATAAGTTTATGGAGCTGTTTTAGTTGACTTTTGGTAGCTAATTGATGTGGGTTGTATGGAAAGAATATGTGGAGAAAATGTGCACATATGGAAAAGTGATTTGCTGCATAATTGATTTGAAGAGATATCTTGGATATATTTGATTTGGAGTGTAAATTGTATTGATCTTAGTGTCAAAATAGTATATGTTGCATGTGCTCTGCAAAATAAGTGGAAATCCATATTGGTGTACTTTGGCTATATATTCGTATGTGTGTACGTGAGGGTGTGTGGCTTGGAAGAGAAAAAGTGGGCTTTTTTCTTTTATGGTTTTAAAAGCAATTCAAGGCCATATTATGAAGCATAGGTATTAGAGATATATTTTTTAGAAAAAATCTGTGAGATTGTGCTTTTGAGTGTGTGACAATATTCTGCAGAAGGAGTTGCTTTGATGTTCTTTGAGAGAAAATAGAAAAAGGTGGTTCTTCGGGAGGAGAACGTATTGCTTTCAGGAGAAAATTTTTAAAGACGAGTGGTGCTTGCTTGACAATGCCTCTAAGAAGATTCTACACAGTGGCAACAACATTAAAGAGGGAGTCTTTGAGAGTATAAGACCGATTGGTGTTTGTAATCTCTTTATCTTAGTGGATTGTTCATTGTCTGGATATAGCCCCGCAGATGTAGGTATGCACACTGAACTGTGATATCAATTCCTTATATCTTTTATCTTTCTGTTGATCTTTCTGCACTTATAATTTATTGTTGTTGAATCAAAAAAAAAATATATCTATCTGAACGTATCCGTCATCAGCGTTACAACAAGTGTTATAACACTTTTTGTGACACCGACTAAAAAATAAACCTTTCATAACCAAACCCTAAACTCTCTTAATGTTGCTGTGAAAGTGGAATCCGAGAAAGAGATTGAAACTTCTTCAATATAGAGTTGGATTTTGGTAAGGATACTCTCTCAATCACTCTCCAAAGATGTCTTCCTCTATGAGCAGCAACTAACCTGGATTTTCTTGTCTTTTGTCTTTCATATTATTCCTCAAAATCATCCACCGATGACCAGCCATATCATTGTCTTTAAAGTTTCAAGTTGAGTTTCTAGCAACCCGAACTTTTGATTAATCTTCAAGGGCGAGCCTCTGAAACCTTTTTGTGTTTCCATTACTGTAATTAAATGTGTATTCCAATAATCTTAAATTGAGTTTTGTTGATTCGAGTTTGCCGAACTTTATAAGGGATGTTGATTTAAGTGTTTGGCCAGTTTTAGATTTTTAATTTTCCGGGCTGTTTTTCATACTATTTTGTCGCAGCCATTATTGTTCCTTTAAAATAGACATCCTAAGCTTTAAGGGGGTTCAAGAAACACCTTAAAACGATTTTTGTAGAATTAGTTATGAATTTTATAAGTTGGTGTAAAATTCTGTCAATTTCCTGACGAAAATTTTAACTCAGATTTCGGGCTGATTTTGATGAGTTTGATAAATTTAAAACCTGGTATGTAATAGCTCTAAAGAAAGATCTATGAATCTACTTTCATTTGGTGGTGGTTTTGTAATTTTTTGAGTTTCTCACTATTTATTATGAATTTTCTCGTAAAAGAGGTCAAATATATCCGTTTGAAAAAATTGCTATGTTGAGACAAATTTTTGTAGTCTTCTTAAGATTGAGATTAGTGTTGAGAAAAGTGTATGTGTATGTTGTCCCACATGAAAAGTGAATTAGAATGTGAAGTGATTTGTATATATAAAATTACCCAAAACTTAATAGGTTAACCATTTGGGTTAAGTTAGGCTCCTGAAGTGTGTTGGGTTTGTTTCGCATGTGGTGTCTCCCCAACAAGTAGTATCAGAGCTGATGGTTCATATGGATCAAGCGATCACACTCAGTTATAGTTCACACGTTACCTCTCGTGGAGAGTTGGTGTTCCCGCAGGTGGAGCATTTGGTGGACTCACATAGTTTCGGCTCTCTTTCTCATGCTTGAGTTGGCTCCCATTTGGAGTTTGATGGTTGGATGTGCCGGCTACTTGAAATTTTATTTCGAGGGGAAGCTCGGTAAACACACACATGAGGGGGAGATTGTTAAGAAAAGTGCATGTGTATGTTGTTCCACATTGATATAATTTATGTAAGCGTGTTGTGCTCCTAAATCCTTATAATAGTATATGATATGTTCTCACTCAATATGTTGAGATAGTATGTTTAAGCTTTGAAGATAGTAAGGTTAAATTTGCGCTTGATTTTATTCTAATACGCATGATTTGACACTTATTGATCATCTGTTTTATTATGAGAACGAGATATGTAACTCTCGGAATAATATAGAATCTATGTGACATGTTATTTTACGTTTCATATGAGAACTTGGACTATAACATGACATCATAATTGTATATTGGCATTTTGTGATATGCTAGGTTGTAAGTTAGGGTGGGAACTATAAATCCCTTAAGGGATCATAAGATTTTATATATGATCAGAAATGCAATGTTGCGCTTTAATTCCCGTGTAGTAGGTGCGGCGACCTAAGTGGCTGTTGGACTATGATTATTAGATCATGGTGCCGAATTCCCTAAACCTTGGCCGGGTAAGAAGGATAAAGCCGTATGAATACCCGCGTTACTATTTATGTAAAAGCCGATGGATCATAACTCCGGTGAGATAGGTAAGCCACATGTGGTTAGTGGTACGCCCCTAAAGGCCGAGTTTGATTTATTAATTGTACGTGTGTGTGATTCCTTAGACCCATTGGCCTAGAGTCTAGGACACTCATATGATTGAGCATCAGCTGACATAAGGCAGTCCCATGGGCCCAATAGATAATATGTGCACGTTAAGATGTTAGATTATTGATTATGTAATGAATTATGCACCTAGGTATGACATGTTGATATGGTAATATGATATGATATTTATAAAATGAATAGTTCATGAATTGATATGCTATGAGTTACGCAAAATGTTTTAATTATAATCACGTTAAATGGGGGCATATGATTAATATGTGCTTCGTGTTATTGTTTTCATTCTCTTATTATTTTGATTGTTGTGATCGCTGAATCAGAAAATAAATTATGGATATGTCGGACTCATTAGGATAACGTAATAATTTTGTACTTTTTTATTTACTATTTGTTTTGACTTTTGTATAAGTGTGTACTTATAGGGGTACACAATTGATTAGACAAGAGTAATAATAGCTTAAATGTAAGGATATTATAAGAGGGAGGACAAAAAGAAAAAAAGAGAATATGAACATGGTTGCTTATGAGATTATGACTACTAAACGACTTATATATATATATAGTGTTTTTATGGATTAATGAGTTTGAGAAAACCTTCCTACATTATATGCATTCAATCATATTTAGAGTAGTTAGTCTACTCGCTTATTGAGCCCTCTCGCTCACTAGAATTTTCTTGTGTTGCAGGCAAGTCTATAGTTAAATAGGAGTGAGCAAGAAAACGGATCGAGGTAGTGGTACATGTGGAATACAACTAATTATGACTAATTTTTGAAGAAACAAACTTTAAACTTCTTTTATGATGTTGGGACTTTATTATTTTTAGGACCTTACTTTTAAACTTACGCAGATATTGATGGTCAACTTTATTAAATCTTTTGAGAAACGGTTATATGGCCCAATATGAACCTCATATGAATTAAAAAAAAAAATACACAAAATTATATGGTTTTGTAAACACTTTGAAGGATAAAAATTTTCCACATTTTTATGGTTAGGTAAATTAACTAACTCAAATCTTTGATTTATCGCAGCTTAAATTAGTAGCTAGGCAGCAGGTCGTGACAAGAACAATGGCGGTGATTGTGATATTTTCAGTGTCAACTTCAATCAGTGTTAATCTAATCAGTAATCACTAGGACATGTATCACATGGTCGAATAATTTGTTTGGTACGTATTGTTAATGCTGGAATTGATTTATAGTACTGTTGGTCATTTATGCATGAATGCTCTTATCTGATGAAATAACTTGCTCTGACAAGGGAGAGTGAATACAATATCAAACTAAATACAATAAATACACTTCGCTTAACCACTCTTTGGTATGTTGTTAAAGCTCATTTCCTTCCCCTTCTTTTATCTGAGTACACGTCCGAATAGGCAAATACAATATCAAAGCAAAGCCCTTTTCCTAATTCAATATGTTCATCCTTATACACATTCACCAATCAATACAATATTATATGTACATATATATATATATATAGACACATACACACATAGGTGAGCTAGTACTTACTGTTTCGCCGGAAAACGAATTCTTTAGTTCAACTTTGGACAATGTTCAGCGGCCAGGATCTTCACCCACCTAAGACAATGAAAGCATAAAAATACATGCAAGTTTTTAGTTTGGTCTTCAACTTGAATCAGTTGCCTCGTATTGCCAGACCTTATGTTTACTTTCGCAAATACACCGCAAACTTTTTATCATTTGTAAGTTGGACTTGAAATTTTCAATTTTGGTATTTAAAACCATAAAATTGACAATCTTGAGTTTGCATTCCAAGTAATAACAGAAGCCCAAGTGCCAAGAATAATTACGAGTCTAACTTACATACCAATCAACAAAAGTGCATTTTAATGTCGTTGTCGATTTAGGACCGTCAAAACTCAAATCTAGTATTCTAACATCAAAATTAAAAGTACAGAATCTAACTTGTTAACCAACCAAAAATATGGTCATTTGTGCAAATTACCCATTTTATATAAATCCCCAACTTTGCTTCCACGGAATACTATGGAAGGCTGTGTCAATTAATATCCGGCCAAAAAATAAGATACAGTCACTAGTCGTTTTTCTCTACATGGTCACAGAATATCCTCAAATATTCCCTTTTATAATAGCGTTCATTCTACTTTTCTGGAGCACTGATTCTGTGACTTCTCCATGATATAAACATGGCATTTTATTCACACATTGTACCTGTAAGATGTCCGAATCAGCCGAAACTTCACCCGGGAAAATGGTACAACTTCATTAAACAACTATATAAGCTTCCAAACAAGACAAGAAAAGTAGTAATAGAACAAGAAAAAAAAAAACTCTACTCTATGCGCTTAGAACCCCGGAAAACAGGATAATATGCGTCCAGTTCGAGAAGCTCTATGATACGTTGTGTGGTCCACAAATAGGAAGAGTGGCCTTCAATGAGATCCGTAACATCAACCTACATAAGAGAGAATATTATTTTGCTGGAAAATGGCAATCTTTTATATAGCATATTAGCAAACTCCAGAGAATTATGTTACCATAAAACAACAGGAACCTTACATTTTCGATTCCCGGGACGTCTATTGGTTGAATTCCAGCTAATCCTTGAGTAAGCAAACTGTTCCATTAATTGTAATTGAATCAATTACAGTAGGAAATCAGTTATTAGTAAGTCCTCCAAAATCATAGGACCAGATAAATAAACCCCAATTGACAGGACCCTAGAACTAAAGACAGAGAAATATCAGTCATAGTCCAATCAGGACCTGGCCATTTTGATTCAGTGCTTATTAACCGTAAATAAATAAGTTCATAAACGAGTCTGTGATTCACAAAGAATCATCTATGTTGTGAGTACCTAGCTCGAAAAGCAACTCCAAGCGTCCAATCATTTGTAGAATAGGCATTCACGAATCTTCCAGCCACCATCTACAAACAACGGGAGTTTATTGAAGAGTATTAAGAGATGAAGGAATCATGTAAAGATAATTTTGCATTGGAAAGCAATTACAAAAAGCACAGTTCAGGATGGAAAAAAATAATAATAATAATAAAGGAAAATAAAGGAAAATAAAACACCTTTCTAGCAGCCCCCCATTTCTCATCCTTAATTGAAATGGGTGCTCCGAGAAGAACAACTCTTTCTACGAGTTCAGCTGCCAAAATGCATTAAATTGGGGTTATTCCAGCAGTCAATGACACTTCGAAGAGTGAAAAGTAATAGAGTACCATTATTTTCCGTTTCAGCCAAAAACTGAAGACATTTGAAAATAACTCTTGCTCCAAGCGAGTAACCTACAAGTGTCACAGGCCTGGAAGATTCATGGAAAGCCGAAAATAGATATTAAACAGACTGGATCTTACAATATTATAGCATTTTCAATCAAGTTGTGACTTGCAAACCTGTTCCCGTGAAATCCCTTTAATAATACTTCAGCAAGCAACCTTCCTGCTTTGTCCGATCTGGAAAATGTCAAAAAGTTTAGAGATAAAATAAGCAAATAGAACCTTGTAAGTTGTAACGCCTAATTCTAACTATTCAGTAAACCCTTCATCCAATAATACATAAAAGTCATGGAAAAAAGAAAATGTTAACCTGTCAACAGCGATAGTCCACTTGCTATCTATGAAATCAGTAGCTGCAAGTAATGTCACTGGCCAAGCAAGCGCTGCTAAAAGAGTGCTCAACACAGTCAGCATTGCACCTTGCTTCATTAATTCCATTGCAATTCCTACAAAAAATAGCAGCTATGTTATCATCATGCTGCATGCTACGCGACAATAACAGCCATGAAGTCCAAATCATTTACTTGATGTGAGCCAATCCTGAATTGCCGTGCTCACTGCAATTAGATTCTTAGACTCCCACTGCAGCGCATACCTAAAGAATTTACAACCATGAGAAAGATGTAACTTTCAACTTCTTTTCTGACTCTACAGACCATGTTTCGTAAATGAGACCTATTAACATGAGAAGTCAAACATACAAAAGAAACACACAAGATAGAAACAACAAAGGTGGGAAATTATTATTATTATTTTTTATCCATGCTTGAACTATGTGATACTTTCCTCGCAAAAGATCCGTTGCAAATTCACTAACTACGAGCAAGCCCTCGTACAAATAGATAATGGGATAGGCCAAATAAAGCAAACTTATTTTGGTAGCATGCACAATGATCGAAAAGATAACAGTAAGAGATCCCCATGTAGCTGGCCAAAAATGAAACAAGTATTCCGTCCAAATAATTCACACTTGCAGAAAGTCACAAATGAATGAAGGAACGAAGAATTAAAATAAAATAAAATAAAATAAAAGTAAAAAAAGTAAAATTAGAAAGGAAGGTAACATTATAGACGAGACAAAGTAACATTAATCAAAAAGACAGAAACTACTTGAAGAAAAAGAACTGACAGAAATTGAATACAAACTGAACAAGTAGCCTAGAGTCTACTGAACCCAATTGTTTCTTGAACATCCCTATTTTTAAAATCCCCACCCCCTTCTCCTTCTTATTTCCAGGAAAAACTACATAAAATGTGTGTAGACTCGTGTATGATGGTACAGTGAAGATTCATATATCGAGGATAAAAAGTTAAACCTTTCCAAGTTGTCATCCTGTCCTTCCCAAGGTCTTACAAAATCTTCCTTATCAAAAACAAATCCCGAGACCATGATTTCAACTGCTAGCCTCTGATGGAGAAGAAAATAAGAGTATGAATCAATAAAACTTTATCCAGTAAGAATTTTCGTTTTTCCTCATTTGAAAAGTGACCACCACTAGATGTGATGGAAAATTGAACACATAAATATGCGTACTCATAGTGCCTGTAGATTAAAAATGTCCAAATGGAAGATCAAACTGTCCTTGGAAAAAAAGGGCAGAAAAACTCACCCCCTGGTTATGATTTTCTCCTAGAGGTCTGAATTCAAATTCGTCAACATTCCCAGTTCTCCTAGCCATTTTGCTCCCTGTAAGTCCAGCTCCAGCAGCTAGGTTGAACAAAAATCATCCAAACAAAGCCAATTAGTCTACATAAACTTTGTTTCTCAACAAACTAATAACTCTTCATGTTAACCAGATCAAATGAAAAAAATAACAATTCCTGACTACCATATTGAGCATTTTCACTTATGATGCAGTACTGGAAGCATAGTAAATTCACCCTCAGAATTCCATTGAAAACGAAGCATGCTTGCTTTAGCATAGTTATGAGTTGAAAAGCATATATAGATTTCTAAATATAAGCAACTCTTACATTAGACACAAAACTCTACTGAGTCTCAAAAGGACGCAAATTCTGTTCTAAGCAAGTCCAAAACGTTAGAGAAAAATACATCAACAAACTAAGCGACATTTAGGCATATACTGTGCTATTTATAAGTAAAAGATATCCATATAAATGTAACCAACTATTCACCTCCGAAAGATGCAGCAACCGCAACAGATCCCGCAACAGTTCCTGCAGCACCAGCAGCTGCAGCAAATCCACTTGCCCCAATTACCGGTATGAGAGTACCCAATGTTGGAGCTAAAGCACCAAGTCCTGCAGCAATTGCTGGGGCAGCTAATCCTGTCAAACAAAAATGAGCTGAATAGAGTCAAAACCATTGAAGGCATGAGAAAAAAATTTCCAACCGAGAATTTTAAAGTTCTCCAAGATTATAGATTAATATGTAGCTGCCTACATACCACCAGTAATTGCCATCAATGTTCCCCCAGTTAATGCAGCTGCACCAATAATACCACCACGCTTCCACTTGGCCCATTTACTATCTGACGATTGGGGTTGTTCTTCGTTTAACTCTTCCGTTTTGGCCAAAGCCATAGCAGAGCAAGCAACCATTGTTTCGATAGCTTCCTGCTCAGATAAAATGTCCCTTAGCAGAAACTTCTAAAATATGAAGTTCAACTGATAAAGAACAATACATGATTTATGCAGTACGTGAAATAATCTTTTGAGTCCTCAATAACTTATGATTAAGCAAAAGAAAAAATAAAATGTTCAACATCACAACTCATACACCCTCTTCATTACGTAAATACTAATGGTAACAACAATAGGTTAAGCGAACAACTCTGCACCAAAAAATTCCTCATACAAACCACTTTAATCCACTTGACATCAAGCCAAGTTGCTAGCAATCGTAGAGCAACACGATGTCGAGCATCATATCCCTTTCGTTTACGGGTACACTTTTTGTTGTCTGCATGTGTGTCCGCTAAACAAGCTGAGAGAAGCACGTAGAGAGCCGTCACTTTCCTCTGATAACTGAGCATCATTACCTCTTCTATGGGGTTCTCATCGACGTTACTGCTGGACCCATCAACCGCATCTTCAATGGGTAAACTATCTCCATCGGTCTTAGGCGGAACTTGCGTTTTTACACCAGCTGCTTCCATGTTCGATTGCACCTCAGCGGTTGAACATTTCTCCCGACACTCACTTTCATATTCACGATGTTTTTCCTTCTTAGACTCGGAAGATTCAGAACTCTTTTCCATGCTACGCCACATGGCATCAACAGCTCTTGACAGAGCAAGTTCTTGATCAGAATTTTGAGAAGTAGTCCCATCATTTTCCTCCGCTAGCAACCTTAAAAACTTTAAAAACACAAAGAACATGTGAAAAAGAAATGTAGATGCCAGATGAACTAAAAAATCTTACAAACAAATAACTAAACCGAAAAATGCAAACATACTGCTCCAACATGATGCTTAGCTGGAGAAGATCCAGCGGTTTCCTCAAGTCCGGACCATGCCACTGATTCAATCTCCAAAAACCTGTTTGTAACAATCAATATCAATTCCAATTCAATCCAATCATCATCAATTATGAAGACCTTTTGTTCTTAATCAATGAGAACTGAAAAGATTCAAATCATTTGAGGATTTTCTCTCATCAAATTTATTCTAAATCGACAATCAAACAGAAAATCACAGTGTAATCACTGTAAACTTCTCAATTATTGTATGAATTTCTCTCAACGACCAAACAGAAAATTACAGCATAACAATCGCATCATGCATTTTCTATATCTTCAACAATCAGAACTCAAAACGGTTTCAAATTTACGAATTCCTCTCTCCATACTTCTCCGACTAACGATCAAAACCGAAATCGCCGATTACAATAAAATAAAAACACGAACAATCAAATTCGAAATTTAGAGAGAGAGAGACCGGAATACAGGGCGGACGAGGCCGGAGAGCTCGTGGACCCAGAGGTCAGGGTGGTTGGCAACGGAGTCGGTGCTGCCGCAACTGCTGGGGCGGTCGTCGGCGGATTCATCGTCTGAGCCCAAAGGGCGGGTCTGGTTGACCTGCGCCTGGTGAAGAGCGAGGGCGAAGAGAGCTCCGGCGGCGTACCTCTGCGTCGGCGTTAAACACGACGTCGTCGCCATTGCATTGGAATTTGGATTGTATTGGATTGGATTGTACGAACGAACAAACAAGAACGTTGAAATAAAACACGCTTTTTTATCAAAATCAAAATCAACTCCGATGTTCAATTCGCCGCTCGAAATTCATTTGTTTTGTTCTTTGCTTTTTTGTTTTTTCGTTTTTGAAGTCGGAATAAAAAGGTGATTACCGGAAAATGAAGATGTTGGACTTCGACAACGTTTAAAGCAAGAAAATCTCCGAACGGCACCGCTCGATTTACCTTTTTTTTTCTTTTTTATAAATGAGAATTTGTCAATCTAAATAAGAATAGCTGATAAAAAAAACTATAGCATAAGAAAAATAATGGTTTTAAAAAAATGTAACATGCGATAATAAATGATAGTGGTCTATTCGTTTTTGCAAACTCAATCTAGCAGTCAAAAGAATTATCAAGCAAACAGCTGTATAAAAACAAAAATTTTAGCTAAAAAGCTTATTAATATAAATGTTTCAAAATAATATAAAAAACAAGATGGTGTATAGTTTTCCATAAATCAAATTGAGATTTAAGTTAGAGTGGGATATGAAAAGGTTAAATTAGATATTATGAAAGTAATATGTATAAAAGTAAATAATTTTTCAAATCTTTATTAAATTAGTATTAATTAGTGGGTGCATTTATACATTTTTGGGGTAAAATATAACACATATAGTAATTCATTACGGATAAATAAGCAAAATTTAGCACTCATTTCTTTTAACAAGGAACCAATATCAAGAGGATGCAAGGATTAGTGTTTCTTTTCTCATTTCTTAAATTGTGTGGAGCTCACTAAATGTCCATTACTAATTTTATAAATAAACAAATTATTTTATGACAAAAGAAAATCATTACTCACTTTTCATTTCCTTTTAATGCGAAGTAAACACGCCTTAATTATAAACCTCATGAAATCTAGTGACTCTTAACTTCTTTTTAATGATAAATGTTATATATATATATATATATATATATATGAGTTTATGTTTCTATTTAAATATTTTGTTAATAGGTTGCAGCTTATAAGACAAGATACTTGAAATTGATGCCTTATTAATCGTGTTAGGATTTATAAAACAAATTACGTAAAAATAAAAAATAAAAAATAAAAAAAACCATGTGAATATGAATCTCCTATGATGAAAGATAATTAATTCCCAAAGATTCAGTTTGGAACGAAATTCCTGACAATCATATTGACTTGATGACATATTCTCATAAGGCGAATTGTAGGTGCCTGCTTTGCTTCTTATTGCAGCCTTAATCATATGGCATCGTTTCCTTTTCTTTCTTTCTTTTTTCCCCCTTTCGCAAATGCACCTCAAATGAAATTTTTAGTTTCAACAATTAGAACCATTAGTTTAATCATGGCCATTGCTTCGTATTCCAAGTAATGGACGGCAATTAGAATCTCAAATACTTCTGTTTGTTTGGTTAGGGGAATGGAAAGTAATCAAGGTTCATTTTTATGTTTGGTTGGTTTTAGAAAAAAAGAATGGCCATTCAAAATAGAATGATTTTTTCATCAAATGGGTGAATCATCATTCATTCTTTATATGAGATAAATGCTCATTCCAAGCTCTTTCAATTTTTTTTTCCATCATTACCCTTGAATATTATAATTATTATAATAATATTTATAATATAATTAATATTATATTATAATAATTTATAATATAATATAATTATATTTTATAACATATAATATAATATATTATAATTATATAC